ACCCCTGACCACTGCCCCCAGTGCTCTGTAGTCATGTTCGATACGTCCCAAGCTGCCTTTGGCAGTATCGTTGGTGCCACCTGGAAGAGCAGCAGGGGTAATTGTCCCAAGAGTTGGACAAGCCTCGTCAGCCTCTCTGTAACATCCCGGATCCGAGCCCCCAGCAAGCGGCAAACCTCTCTTGATGACAGGTCATGTTGGCAGATGGGAGCCTCTGTTCCCTGCAGCAGGGAGTCACTACCGCCATCCCTCGCTGCGTCGTGTCCTGGCTGGGTGCTGGGGGGAGCGAGGCTCTGGTGCAGGCCTGATGGGGCGAGAGGGTGGTTTGCATCAGGGTAGTTTGTCTTCCTTTTGTGAGAAAGACCCAATTGCACCGCTCCCCGGGAAATGCTGCTGTGGCCCTTCCTCTCCAGATGCAGGGCACTCCATCATGCTCCTCTGCCGCTTTGACTTCAGAAGGCGGTGTGACATTAGCCTGCAGGCTGGGCAGGGCCAGGCCATTTGGGTGCCCAGCACTGAAAAACATGGATGTCGTAATCAGTCGGAGGCTGGTCATGGCACCGTTGGCAACGGTGCAGGGGAAAAGCAGGCAGCAGCACCAAGGAAGGGGCCGGTGCCTGGGGTGCCTGGGCATGGCATCACCTCTGCCGCAGCCCCACGACACCCATGGGACACGGCCTAACGAGGAGTGCCTTCACCCCCTGGTTGCTGTGGCCCAGGAGTTGTCGGGAACGGAGGTAGAGCAGGCTTAGCCCTGGGGGATCACATGGGGCCACGGGACAAGATTCGGCCACGAGACGCTCAGGGCCCCAGGGCACCCCGCTGCGAGAGGGGCCCAGCACGAAGATGCTACGTGCCCACACACAAACGCACGGGCTGGCACTCCTGGTCTCCCTCTCTCACACGTGCACCCCTGCCCTGGGTGCCCTTACCCTGGCTCTGGCTGTCTCCACCTTGCCCTGGGTGTCCCACCTGGCCAGGGTGCCCTCATCCTAGCTCTGGGTGTCCCACCTGCCCAGGGTACCCTCAACCTAGCTCTGGGTGTCCCACCTGTCCGTGGTGTCCTCACCCTGGCTCTGGGTGTCCCACCTGCACAGGGTGTCTCCACCTTGCCCCAGAGGGCAGGGCATGGAGGAGCCCCTTCCCCAACTGTCTGCCCTATCTCCCTCTGCTCCCCATGACTCCCCTTGCCTCCTACAATTCCCCATGGATTCCCCCCCCTCCCCACAGCTCCCACCCGTCACCGTGGCTCCTCCAGCTCCCCCAATCCCCACAGCTTCCCATAGCTCCCCATGGCTCCCCTATTCCCCACAGCTCCCCACAGCTCCCCCAATCCCTACAGCTCCCCATGGCTCCCCCCATCTTCATGGCTTCCCCCCACCCCTCC